TGAAGTTTTTGATTAGCACAAAAATTACTACTATCACTGAAATAATCATCCCCCAAGATCGTACTCAGTAGAGTAGTCAATGACTTCCATCACATTAAGCATCCTCACAAGGTGCCATCAATATTTCCAATTTGAAATCTTACCATCCATGGATGGAAGCTTTAAACAAAGCCCATCCCACACCGTGAATCCCTTGCAGGTGACAAATAGGGATGGTGGGACACAAGTGGAGGGTTCACAGATCCAAGAAGATAAAGTAGAAGTGCTTGCAGTAAAAATCTTAGCTTCCCTGAGGCATAGCACCAGTGGAAATTCAGGCAGCACAGGAACCCATTTATTGTACTGAGAAGCAATGTCCAAACAGTACAAGAAGTAAATATAGCACAAATTGTGGGGGGGTCCAAGATGGCATTCTGAGAAGGTGCACCTTCACAAAGCTCTGTGATATGATCTCAGCTCTTATTAATCCCTGCAGTGCATTGTGTCCCCCGTAGCCTGTTTCTGCACCTCTGTTCCCTGCTCCACAGATTTGCAGAGTGGGCACCGATCTCCGAGTCTGTAGTCTGGTGGGATACACTGGTGACTTGGTGCTGTGAGTCCCATTCAGCCTGTTCTGCTTCAATAACAAGCTTTATTCAGAGAGTCTGGCTGGGAGATGAAGGAAACTAGAGTCTTGTAGAGTGGGAATCGCTCCTCAGCCTAAAGCCCTGGTGGGAGACATTGGAGGCTCTGTGGAGTGGTCTCTGCTGCTCTCTATCCTCCTGAAGCAGTTAGTTCCCCTCAACCTGGGTCAAGCTTCTCCTTACCCCACCTCCTCAAGAGACTAGTTGGGAGGGAAGAGACACTGCTGCCATGATTTGTAGAGCTTCTGTTTAGGGATGGGCTGCATTTTCGAGTCGAACCTAAGTTCGCCTGCCATGCCCCACAATGCACTGCGCCCTGACAGTGCATTGTGATTGGTCAAAGCAATGTACCTGACCACAGAACCCCGCCCCCTTGTGACATCATGACAGTATATAAGGACTGTCATCACAGGTGCAGCTGTCAGATGGCAGGGGCCGGCGTGGAGAGCAGAGCATTTTTTTTTTCCTTTTTTTTGGGTAGCGTCGGTGGCAGGCATCATGATTGACGTTGGCTTTACTTCAGGGGACATTTTTTAATTTTTATTTTTAATAAAGGACTTGTCAAAATCTGTCACCTGTCTTTTTTTTATAAATAGGTAGCGGTACCATGTACCCCATACTCATTCACATTGGGGGCGGGATCTGGGGGCCCCCTTGTTAAAGAGGGCTTCCAGATTCTGATAAGCCCCCCACCTGCAGACCTCCACAACCAAAGGCCACGGTTGTGGGGAAGAGGCCGTTGTCCACATCAGTATGGGAACAGAGTGCTTCTTCGGGGGGGGGAGTCCCCCAGCTCCAAAGCACCCCCTCATGTTGAGGGCATGTAGCCTGGTATGGTTCAGGAGGGTGGGGTGCTCAACTCCCCCCCCCCCTTCCTGACCTGCTGGGCTGCATGCTCAGATAAGGTTCTGGTATGGAATTGGGGGGCCCCTCAAAATTCATACCAGACCCGAAGGGCTTGGTATGAATGGGAGGGGGGACCCCACGTCATTAAAGAAAAATAAATAAATTGTTGGGCAATGCCGACAATTCTTTTTCTATTCAGCTGTCAGCCGGGAACCCCACTGACAGCAGAGACATGAATGAATGTTTCTCTACTAGAATACCGTGTGACTTCATCATAGAACTCAGGCCAGATTTTAGTAACTGAGCGGGATCACACCACATACCATACTCAGATGTGCTAAGATACTGCTCAGTTGTTCGGTTCATGTTCAAAGTACATGGTTGTACATTCTGTAGGTTCAGATGTTCAACCGCAAACCGAACAGGGGGGTGTTCAGCGCATCACTACTGCTTTTTAGCCTAGGGATCTGTCCAGAATTGTTGGCAGCCACCCATGGTATAGTTGTTTGGTGTATAATACCTTGTTTCTTTAGGTATGATTCCATCTCTTTATTCATATATTCCCCTCCATTGTCAGTGCGTATTATTCCAGGTTTCCTTTGAAACTTGTTGCTTGTCATAGCTACAAACTCTTGAAATTTTTCTAATGTCTCACTTTTGTGCTTCATTAGATACGTTATTGTGTACCTGCAATAATCATCGATGAAAGTCAGTAAATACCTGTTCCCGCCAGGTGTGATGGTTTTCATTGGTCCACACACATCACTGTGTATCAGTTCCATGGGTTTAATGGTTTTACTCTGACTGGTCTGTGGAAGAGGGGTTCGGGTGGCCTTTGCTTTGATGCAACACGTGCACTTGCCGAGTGTGTGGCAAGGCAATATTTTCATGTCTTCTGATAGACCTCTCTTTGCAAAGTCCTTTATAGCTTCTGAGTTTTGATGCCCCAATCTTCTATGCCACAGGTGGATGCACTTGTCATGTGGGCTATGAGTTGCCGCATTGGCCTTCTCACTTTCAGTGACGAGTTTGTACAGATGTTCATTTAATCTTCCTCTTGCTAGGATTTGCTTTCCATTTTGAATTGTGCATTCATTACCTCTGAACTGGACAGTGAGTTCATTGCTTGCAAGGGTTTTAACTGATAGGAGGCTTCCTTCTAGGCTTGGAACATATAGAACATTCTTTACAAGGATGCTCTGCTTGCCCCCTGATGGCGTTTTGCAGTTCAGAAATCCCTGACCTTTACCTTCCGCTGTAATACTTTTCCCATTTGCTAGGAAGACTTTATCTTTTACACTAAAATCAATTTCTGTGAAGAATGTCTCATCGCTTGTCATGTGACTTGTTGCCCCTGATCAATGTACCATCCATGTGAGGTACTATTCGGAGTCACTTTAAAAGTACCACTCCATGATGCACTTTCATTTTCTTTCAAGACCGCTTTAGCTCTTTCTCTTGTGGGTAGCTCCCGCTTTCGCTGCTCAGCTTTCCAGATTGAACAGTTCTTTTTCAGGTGACCGGCCTTTTTGCAGCAAAAACATACCCTGGTTTCTTTGCTTTGTCTTATGCCTTCATGCACCTTCAGAGCTGCCTCTGGTCTCTCGTTCTCTTCACTATGCAAATTTTCCTTTTTCTGCTGTATTCATCAATTAATTTTGCCTTAACATATTCTAGCGTCAGTTCAGTTTCCGATCTAGTTTCTAGAGCATTTATAAGGGCACTGTATGATTCTGGAAGGCTGCATAGCATTAGTGCCACAACATGGTTGCCTTTTATTTCTTCACCTATTGCACCCAGCTGGTCCACAATTTCTAGCATGGCATTTACATGTTCACCCATTTCCTGCCCTTTTTCCAGCCTCATGTTATACAGTTTGCGCAGCAGATATAGTTTACTGTTTAGGTTTGCACGTTCATGCAGTCTTTGTAATGCAGTCCACATACCTTTAGCTGTGTGTTCTTTCCTTATATGAATGGGTTGATCATCCTCCACTAACAGGCTTGTGACTGCTTTTGCTTGCCTGTTTTTTCTGTCCCATTCTTCCGGGTTGTCATTGGGTCTGTGTGTATCTAGTACCTTCCACAAGTCATCTTTGCATAACAGCATTTCAAGCTTGAACTTCCATAGCTAGTAGTTGGTATTGTTGAGCTTTGCTATTGTAAACTTCATATCTGAAGCACTTGCCATCTTTCAGTGAATTGGATACAGCTCTTGTTTCCTCACACAGGATTTGGTAGGATTGTAAATGCAGCACTTGCTTGTAGTTCTCCTTTTTCCATTGTCTGGAGCTGGGCCCATAACCTGTTGGTTATGTTAGAGAAGACACTGGTAGCTTGTGATGAGGCAGAACTTGGTTTACTTGTGTGGCTTAAGCTGCAAACATACAGAACACTTCAGTAATGTGTAACAGCAGACATCTTGGTTTTGGAAGAGAGAGAGAGAACCAACAAGTTTTACACATACGCACAACTGGTAACCTTAGTGTGTGTACAGTGCCATCTACTGGTCAAGTGATATTAACACACAATACTATATAGTACATGCTGTTGTATCCCCAACACAGTCTATAGTAAAATGATGGCTGGGCGAACCTCTCATCCCTCCATTAGGGAGTCATATGACGTCCTTCCCAGATTGCGCTTTACGTGTGCCCGCAGGGCCACGCTCTGTGGAGATCTGTCACTGGCTGTGTACTTCGGGTACGGCCGATGACAGAACTGTGTACCAGCCTTCTTGCCAGTACCATGTGACCTTCTGTGACCAATCACAGCCAGTCACATGACAGTTGTATTCAATGGATGGCTTCCTTTCATGCCATCCATTGTATACAAGCGTGTCTAGCTGTGAATGGTTACAGTGATCACATGCACAAGCTGGGCCAATCACAGCCCATCTGTGTCATGTTATTAGCCATGGCAATCACAGCTAATCACAACAAAAAAACCTGAATTAATCAATTTCATTCAGTTAAATGCTTGCTTATAGCAAATAAATTATTTGCTATAAGCAATCAAATTGTGTAAAGAAAAAAAAAAAAAATAGTGATCACTTCCCCAAAGTAGTACAATGTCACTACGGTAACATTATACTACTTTGGTCATAGTGTAATATGAAAAAAAAAATCTTTAAAAAAAATAAAAAAAATAAAAAATAAAATAAAATTTGAAAAAAATTATACTTTTTTTTTCCATACTGTCACCAGTCAGTGTCCCTAATCGCTGTCACACCAGTTATATGATGATGCTGTACTGCACTGGTGACAGTTTGTAAAAAACAAATTGGGAAAATTATTTTTTTAACTAGTAGCCGACCGCAGATAGCCGAATGACGGCTGCACTGCGGCCGGCCAGTTCTGGGTGGACGTCATATGACGTCCCACCAGAACGCGCTCTCCTGCGCGCCCCAGGCGATCTCCGTGATCGCTGTGTCCTACGGACACAGCTGATCACGTGATGTGGTAAAAGGCCAATCACAGCGGCCTTTTACCACATGATCAGCGGTGTCCAATGACACGCTGATCAGAGGGAAATGCAAGTGCCGGTTCTCGGCTGCACTTTCCTCACGCTGTCAGATCGTGAGGAAAGTACTGCCGAGAACCGGCAGTTGTCAGAGCGGGGATCGGCACCGATCATCAGGGCACTGATGATCAGTGCCCTGATGATCGGTGCCCAGCAGTGCCACCTGCAAGTTCCGCCCACCTGTGCGCCCACTAACTCCGCCCACCTGTGCCCAGCAGATCACCCACCTGTGCCCAGCAGTGCATCCACCTGTGCCACTCTGCAGTGTCACACACACCTGTGCCCAGAAGTGCCACCCACCTGTGCCCAGAAGTGCCACCCACCTGTGCCCAGAAGTGCCACCCACCAGTGCCACTCTGCAGTGCCACCCACCTGTGCCCAGAAGTGCCACCCACCTGTGCCCAGAAGTGCCACCCACCTGTGCCCAGAAGTGCTGCCCACCAGTGCCACCCACCCTGCCCACCAGTGCCACCCACCAGTGCAGCCAGTCAGTGCCACCAGTCAGTGCCCAGCGGTTGTGCCAGTCAGTGCTGCCAGTCAGTGCCCAGCAGTGATGCCAGTCAGTGCCGTCTATCAGTACCCATCATCAGTGTCACCTATCAGTGCCGCCTATCAGTGCTGCATATTAGTGCCGCCTATCTGTGCCACCTCATTAGTACTGCCTATCAGTGCCCATCAGTGCCACCTATCAGTGCCCATCAGTGCTGCCTCATCAACGCACATCAGTGAAGGAGAAAAATTACCTGTTTGAAAAATTTTATAATAGAAACAAAGAAACTTTTTTTTTTCAAATTTTTTGCAATTTTTTTATTTATAGCGCAAAAAGTAAAGCGTCCAGTGGCGATTAAATACCATCAAAAGAAAGCTCTATTTGTGAGAAAAAAATGATCAAAATTTCATATGGGTACAATGTTGCATGACCGCGCAATTGTCAAAGTGCGGCAGCGCTGAAAGCTGAAAATTGGCCTGGTAAATAAGGGGGTATAAGTGCCTGGTAGGCAAGTGGTTAATTTCTTCATTTTCCAAAAAATTATGATAAAAAAAATTATAACTTCAAAAAACTTGCCATGCCTCTTATGAAATATGTTGGACTGTCTACTTTGCAAAAAGGCCTCAATAAATTAGATTGGCCGTCAGTACGTCAGAATTTGTCAATTTTCAGATAGATCCCATAGTTTGTGAACTCTATAACCTTCCTACAGACTAAATAATAAATACCGATTTGGGTTATTTTCATCAAAGAAATGTAGCAGAATATAGTGAAGGAAATAAGTATTTGCTCCCCGGCTGATTTTGAATGTTTGCCCCTCACAAAGAAATGATCGGTCTAAAAATCGAATGTTCGGTGTATTGTAACACTGAGAGACAGAATACAACAACAAATTCAGCAGAAATGCGTCTAACAAATGATGACTGATCTGCATGTTGATGAGGGAAAGAAGGATTTGATCCCCTATCATTCAGCAGGATTTCTGGCTACCAGGTGTCTTTCATACAGGTAACAAGCTGAGATTAGAAGCAGTCTCTTAAAGGGAGTGCTGCTAATCTCATTGTGTTACCTGTATAAAAGACACCTGTCCACAGGAGCAATCAAACCATCAGATTCCAAACTCTCCACCATGGCAAAGACCAAAGGTCTGTCCAAGGATGTCAGAGACAAGATTGTAGACCTACACAAGGCTGGACTGGGCTACCAAACTATGGCCAAGCAGCTTGGTGAGAAGGTGACAACAGTTGGTGCAATCATTCACAAATGGAAGAAACACAAAACAAGCATCAGTCTCCCTAGGTCTGGTGCACCATGCAAGATCTCACCTCGCGGAGTGTGTCAATGATCATGAGAACAGTGAGGAATCATCCCAGAACTACACGTGAGGATCTTGTCAATGATCTCCAGGCAGCTGGGACCACAGTCACCAAGAAAACAATTGGTAACACACTACGCCGACAAGGACTGAAATCCTGCAGTGCCCGCAAGGTCCCTCTGCTCAAGAAAGCCCATGTCCAGGCCCGTCTGAAGTCTGCCACTGAACATCTGAATGATGCAGAGGAGGACTGGTGGGAAGTGTTGTGGTCAGAGGAGACCAAAATCGAGCTCTTTGGCATCAACTCAACTCGCCGTGTTTGGAGGAGGAGGAATGCTGCCTATGACCCCAAGAACACCATCCCAACTGTCAAACATGGTGGTGGAAACATTCTGCTTTGGGGGTGTTTTTCTGCTAAGGGGACAGGACAACTGCACCGTATCAAAGGGACGATGGATGGGGCAATGTACCATCAAATCTTGGGTGAGAACCTTCTTCCCTCAGCCAGGGCATTGAAAATGGGTGGTGGATGGGTGTTCCAGCATGACAATGACCCAAAACACATGGCCAAGGAAACAAAGGAGTGACTCAAGAAGAAGCACATTAAGGTCCTGGAGTGGCCTAATCAGTCTCCAGACCTTAATCTGATTGAAAATCTGTGGAGGAGCTGAAAGTTAGAGTTGCCAAAAGTCAGCCACCAAACCTTAATGACTCGGAGAGGATCTGCCAAGAGGAGTGGGCCAATATCCCTCCTGAGATGTGTGCAAACCTGGTGGCCAACTACAGGAAATGTCTGACCTCTGTGATTGCCAACAAGGGATTTGCCACCAAGTACTAAGTCATGTTTTGTGAAGGGGATCAAATCCTTATTTCCCTCATGAACATGCAGATCAGTCATCATTTGTTAGACGCATTTCTGCTGAATTTGTTGTTGTATTCTGTCTCTCATTGTTAGAATACACCAAACATTCCATTTTTAGACCGATCATTTCTGTGTGAGGGGCGAACATTCAACATCAGCGCGGGAGCAAATACGCATTTCCTTCTCTGTACATCTTAGCCTAAATTTATGAAAACAATTATTTGCAAACTTTTATTACAGAAAGTTTTTTCAAAATTTTTGGTCTTTTTTTGTTAATTTAGCAAAAAATAAAAACCCCAGCAGTGATTAAATACCACCAAAAGAAAGCTCTAGTTGTGTGAACAAAATGATAAAATTTTAGTTTGGGTACAATGTTGTATGACCGCACAATTGTCATTCAAAGTGTGAGAGCACTGAAAGCTGAAAATGTGCCTGGGCAGGAAGGGGGTAAAAGTGCCCGGTATTGAAGGGGTTAAGGACAGTAGATATCAGGGAGGACTTACTGTTTTACATCAGCCTATTCCCCCTGAGGTCATCACAGAGGACAAGGGGCGCTCTTTACATCTGGAGGAAAAGAAATGTAATCTCCAAACACGGAAAGGTTTCTTCACAGTATGAGCTGTGAGAATGTGGAATAGACTCCCCCAGAGTTGGTTGTGGCCAGCTCAGTGGATTGCTGTAGGAAAGTCCTGGATTCTTTCTTGGATACACAGAATACAACTGGATATAACATTTATAGGGAAAGTTGATCCAGGGAATATCCGATTGCCTCTCGGGGGATCAGGAAGGATTTTTTTCCCCAGCAGGAGCAAAGTGGATCGTGCTTTGCTGGGTTTTTTGTCTTCCTCTGGATCAACTGTGGGTGTAGGATTATATATTTTTTTCTATGGTTGAACTAGATGGACGTTTGTCTTTTTTTCAGCCAGGCTAACTATGTAACTATGTAACCCTAGAATGAGCAGTTGTTTTAGGTGAATTAAGGGCTGAACGTGAGGGTGTAGAAGGTAAGTGTCACGATCTGGGTCAGGTTCAGAGACCAGTTGCTACAGCAGTTGTAAGGTGCAGGGTCTAAGTATTAACCAGAGCTCCTAATGGTGGAGATGGATTTGGCTGCGTGTGAATGCCAGGTCGCAGATCTCAGGATCACCCCACCAGGGAATGAGCAAGCTGGAAGCCAATAGCGGATCAAACAGTGTAGGGATCAAACGGAAGCAGAGTCAGTCACAAGCCAAGGGTCGGTCACGGATGGTAGTAGATTAGGATGAGGCAAAATCGTAGTCAGTAGCAAGCCAAAGGTTGGTAACAAAGATGTAGACAGCAGCAGGAACAGTAGTAGCGGGATATTGGCTGGGAAGGCACAATAATCTGGCAAGTAGGAAGTGCAAGGACATGGCTTTTATAGGAAGTTCATGGGAGGAGCAAGGAGTTCAGGGTTCAAAGCAAACAGGGCCAAGGCAGGATCATCCAAAGAATTGTCAAGAGAGCTGTCCAGCATTCCGGGTGGCTCAGTGAGAAGAAACATTGCCTCTCCCTGCAGAAGGCCCAGGTACAATCCCAGGCTCTGACAGTAGGTAGGCATTGTGTGCCGTCATCTACTTAGATCTCTAGGATATACATTCTGGCAAGTACTTCTTTTTATTAGAACAGAGAAAATAAATATAGTTCCATCGTTACATAGTTAGTCTGGCTGAAAAAAGACAAAAGTCCATCCAGTTCAGCCATTAAAATATAATACAGAGATCTTTGTGTGTCATTTCTATATTACATTTCTCCTATTTTCTTTGAATAATAATAATAATACCATCCCATGAAAATATCTCCCAACGTATCATCCAGCTTAGTTATCGAGTCTCTCACCCTCACCTGAGTGATGGAAGAATGTATCCAACTTTATTCCGCATGACGCCGGACAGTCGGGCCTATTATACGGCTGTTGTACATTTCTTGAAGCATTTTGGGTGGAACTGGGTTGGAATAATAACATCCTTGGATGGCAGCGGTGATGATGAGTCCCAAGAACTGAGCAGGATGATGAGCCAACACGGGATCTGCACACAATATGTCTTCCGACTTAGTGTTTTATATGATTATGATCAGCAATTAAAGATGATGAAGAAATCAGCAGCTAAAGTCGTGGTAATATGTGTGGAACTTTCACAGCGCACGTTTCTTTTTTTGCTGAACTTATACCCTCTGGTATAGAAAATACCACATTTATTTTCTCACCGCTGTGGAGTAACATCTTAGAAACCGACCATGGTAATAATACACCAATCAGCTGCAGCTTCATATTTCAGTGGCCACAAATGAAAAACGTGAACTTCAGTCATCGTGGTGCTGATGTCAGCTTCTCCAGTTGCTTAACTGACCCAATACTGGAAGATATTTGGATTTCTTTGCTTCGGTGCCTTTCCCCAAATCCAGACAAAAATAACCATTTTCAGTTAGACCCTCGGGTCTCTCTCAGACATTGTACAGATGGAAATGATATTTCTGAAGTATTTTTTAATTATACATCTATACCTTCCTATGCATACAGGGCTGTGTATGTTCTGGCCCACGCTCTACACGGAATGTACATGAAGAAAATACAATCTGAACAAACTGGATTCCAGCACAGAGTGAGTTGGATAATAAGTGCTTATGTTACTCGGGGGCGTATTCACCACAAGGTAAACAAGGCATTTGCCTAGAGTGGCATTTTTTTTAGGGGGGCAGCACTGGCCCTCAGAGGAGGGACATGGGGACCAAGTGGGCTGCTT